GGTGAGATCCTAGCAAAAAGTGAACACTGACTTTTCAGTGGTGAGTACTTGGACAGTAACTATTCATTCATTCAATCAGGGAGCATAACAAAAAATTCAGGATGGCTTTTTTGAGCAATAAGAAATGAGCAAGACCATGTGTGAACTGAATACTGCCAGACTTTTCATTTATCTCAGGGACTTTGAAATTATAGTGAATACTGGATGGTCATGGTGAGGATTTTGTTATAAACAACAAATACACTAGGATAAAATACGATACCCTTATCAGGAAGGCCAGATTTTGAACCTGAGACTCAGACTGGGGAACAGTTATAAACATGTCTGTACAGAGCCCTTCTTTGGAGACTGCCATTATCCACTATGCATCACAATGGCACCTGGAGACTCCAGCCAAAACTGGGAAAACTTACAAAGCTTCTGGTTTAAATAATTCTGGAGAGACCAATAGTCACAGGGGAAACTGAGGCATGGAGAGCTGGCTTGACTTGACTAAGGTTACACAGTACATCAATGGAAGGTTATTTACATTGAATCATTTGTTATTGTTAATAAATGGTTCACAAACCAATGTGGAGTATTCATTAAAAAGGAAAGAGAAGACACATTAAATAAATTGGGTAAATGATTTACTGTAAATGATTTACTTGGCTTGACTTTAAACTAGCTAGTTGAATGACTTGCCCAATCTTAAAATAAATGTTTATTTTAATTTAAGTCCATTGTGGGAAGCCCCAAACCTTCAGTACAGGGCTCTGCCTAAATATTTTTTCTCCATGCAGATACAAGGCTCTAATTAAGGTTTTGTCAGCAGTTCCATTATACACCTCTTGTCTCAGTCTCTTAATATTTATCACTCATTCCACATCACTCCAGCCTGGCACTGGGGATTCACTCAGCCCTGGCACATTATTCTCATCAAACTGATATCATCACCAATGTTTTTTTAAACCTTCAGAACATTAATAAAGGTCATTTCAGTTTGCTATAAGAACATAAGTACATAATGCTGTACTGGGTCAGACCAGTGGTACATCAAGCCCAGCATCCTGTCTCTGGCAGTGGCAGTAGCAGATGCTTTAGAGGGAAAGCATATGAACAGGGTATATCTAAGGTGATCATTCCCTGTCATGCCCTCCCTAGCATCCACCGTTGGTTTAGAAATGCCAGAAGATACATCGACTACTGTGTTGAATAGCTATTAATGGATCTATTATCCAGCCATGTTTTAAAATGGCATCTCAGCTCTGACCTTACATCATGGACTCTCCCAACTCAACCCTGCCCATTAGGGTTCCTTATACATTGGGCTTGGATTTCCCACCAAAGCCATGCCCTACGGACTCCCTCACCCCACTCATGACCAACAGGGGTCACTGCAGACTGGCCTTGATGCGGATTCCTATCTTAGCACCACCTGGTGTGGTCCACTGAAGGGCTCATGCTATTCCATCTCCATGGATGATACCTTCACTGATACAAATTCCTCAGCAGCCTCAAAGTGGCTGCTGTGTTGCAACCCCAACTTAGGGGTTGCAACACAGCAAGTTATACTGTTATAACTGTTATACAAGTTATACTGGCACCCAGTCAGCACCCAATCACTGCTGACTGGGTGCCAGTATAACTTGCCTCCTGCCAACAAACTGCAATGTAGCTAGTTTGCTGTGACTTTCAAGGCAAGTGCTGAATACGTTTCCTATCACAGACTGGTCTCCTGAGGTTCTGCAGGCTGGAAGTCTATGGAACTATCCTATGAGCTTGCTCATAGGGGCACTGCAGGCTGATGCCAATATGGTTGTCCCTAGAGTAGAGCCAAGACAGCTGCTTCACTTTGACCCTGCTCCCTTGGATCCCTACAGAATGCTCATCCCTCCCTGGCACTGTTTTTTTATGTCCGGGGATGCTGATACTATCAGGGTTGCTCCTCCTTAGCATTGTTGCATGGGATCCTTGTCAGTAATGCTGATGCCACTTTATAATAAGAGTACCAATGATCTGAGCCAGGGGGGCATGTTCTATTCCCAGCTCTGCCACTAATGGCTGCATGGCCTTGGGCAAGTCATTTTCCCTCTCCATATTACTGCTTGGCTGATTTTAGTTGTAAGTTATTAGGGGATTCTCTCTCACTCTGTGTGTATTCAGCACCTTGTGCTCTTAGGGCCCCAATCTTTGCTCAGACTTCTCAATGCACGTTCTTCTTTGAGGTAGTCTTATGATGACACCTCAGCAGATAAGCACCCTTTTCTGCAAAAAGGATTGTATTAGGACTTGGGGACAAGAGGGAACAGAGCTTCAGCCAGAGAGCAAAGTGCAGAGGAGTCTATGGGCATCAATATGTAAGCCTGCTGTGTCTACTATGCTAATTCATTTTAGTTGAATGAGAAGCATTTATTATATGTCAGGGAGAGTGTGATGAATGGGAAGTCAAGTTTTCCCCTGTATTATTTCAGTTCCCAGCCCTACGGGTGATTTATATAGCCGTGTTTATGGTGTTACTAGGCTAAAACCAAAAGGAAAATTATTCATCTCTTTTCCTTTCTTCTTTTTTGTTTGTGCGCTTGTGTGATTTTCAGCTCTGTCTTTTGGACAGATGGATCCTATTCTGTTATTGCTGTGACAGACTTTTTTCAAGTGCTCACTCCTTATTGTCACGGCAAAAACTTGGTTGCATTGGGTGCTGAGCTTTATCCAACATCTAACCAGTAGTATTGTGATGGGAGCACATGTGCATACAGTGCACATATGCAAATCTAACCCTTATTTACTTATCATAACAGGTATTGAGCTCTTTTGGGTGGTGAACTTTTAAAAATCAGGCCATGTGCTCAATGGAAAATCTAGCTTTTATCATTTAAGGCCCCATTGCAAAGTGGATAGGACAGTTGGGGGCAATTGGATTGACCCTGTGTTATATTTTTAATCTTGCTAAAAAAATTTCAATATCTGATTGTGAAAAGCATCATACTTAACTGGTGACCTATGTACAGAGGGTTTGGGAGATTACAGAGGCCTCTTTGCTTTGGTGTTCGGAGGCTATTACATATTTCTGGATATGACAGATGCCTGTGTATTTTGTCCATCATGCATATAGGGTCAGATTTTCAGCTGGAGTAAATCAGTGTAGCTACATGGCTATCGGGGTCTGTTTACATTAACTGAGGAGCTGGCTTGTATGGTGTCTCCTGCCCTGTGGTACATAAATTGTGCCTGAGGGACCAGATTCTCAGCTGGTATACACCCACTGAAATTCATGCAGCTGCACTGATTTACATCAGCTGAGAATCTGACTCTCTTTTAATATGCATGGACCTACTGACTTCTCTGAGACTCCCAGCCTAGTGTGTGGACAGTGTCAGGCCTGAAGTGTTGCTGATTACCTTTCTTTCAAGTCAGGACGCATAGGAACTTGTTGGAGGAAGTTTTCTGCTGGTAATAGGTTGGATTTAAGTGGCACATAAACCTGCAGGCTCTTTATTGAAGCTGTCGGGCAGTAAGGACACGGGGAATTATTATAATGGAGGAAGTGTGCAACAGTGCTTTGCAGGTGATGTCTGGCAGGGGACCCACTATTTATTTATCTAAAGGAGCAGGTTTGCAGAGGTATCTGGAGGAACAGTTTCCAGGAGACATAACAATGACCCAGGTTGTTATATACCTCTCCCTCCCTCATCTGCTAGCATCCACCCCTTAAGAATTCCTCCTCTTTCTGCCAAGCTTTAAATCTGTAATGAAGAAAGGATAAAGAAAGCCCAGAGGAGATCTTGGGATGCTGGCAGGCAAAGCAATGGCATATTGGAAACTGGTGGTGTCTTGTAAAGAAATCTGGCCTTATTTTGCTGAGCATGGCATTTTTCGCTATTTACAAACTGTGTATTTCACTAAAGAATGAAATGTTTAATTGCAATTGGCATTTCTCAGCCTTGTAATGGGAGCAGTGAGGGAGCCTGGAATGAGCGACTGTAAAAATCAGTTTCCATCTGGCTTTAACAACCGGGAAGGACTTTACTGCTGCTGCAGTTGGAGATGCTTTCGTTTGTCGCTTCTATCCTGGGCTCACATGTGGTAGTGCTATGTGTCATTAAGCAGATGCCATATTCCACCTTAGAGAGTGCTGCGGTTCCATGATATCAGCATCGATTCTTCTGTGTATATATTTAGTTTATAAAGTAAAATGGGATTATGTGAGATGAACAACAGAATGGCACCATCATTTTATAGGGGCCCTTTGCTGTCCTACAGTGCTTGTACAACAGGGCATTATAAAAAAAATCATCCATTTCTGGGGTTTGCCATGAAGTATAACTTATTTAAACTTTAAATCAGGACTATTTACAAAGATAAATGTCTAACTGAGCTGGTAGTTCTTAGGCTTCTTCCCTGTGGGGTATCACATCTCTTTCCTTAGCTCTTTTGTCTTGGAAAAAATCATTCTGCAACATGCCTAAGTTGGGGACTCAGCTAATCTGTCTGACAGAGCGAGTCCGTAAAATAGCTGTATATATTTTAGGGTATGTCTACAGATAATTATACTGAGGTAAAAGGGGAGGTACTTTCTTGGCGCATCTACACGTGTCCCTATGGCACCTTTGTTACTGGTGTGCCATGCGCACCGCGCATAGCTATTTTTAGCTGATACATCGCTGTAGCAATGCGCTATAACGAGGGAGCATGTTGCTACGGTGCTGTAGCTGCATCGTCAAGGTTTGTGACCACTGACACTACATTGCTGTAGGGTGTTGCTACAGTGACACAGCATCATGTGGAGAGGCGCCCTCTGTTTTTCAAATTGTTCATTACCACAGAATAAAATGAACATGCAGAAAGGTTATATAGAAGTTAACAATCTAGGTAATTTAGCAATTTTTCATTCAAATGTAAACCACCCCTATTTGCTGCGGGATAGAACAGATGCACAAAATAGTTATTATGAATCATCTGAAATGCAATAAGGCTCTCCACACTTTTGATATAATGCTTTTTCCTATCCATACCCATAGTGCCTTCCTAACATCTGACATCCTGTCACAAATGGATGATTGCCTTACCTGGGCTTTTGCAGGATAGATGCACAACACTTTTATCGCATCTGATTTTGGAAGACTGGAAGGAAAGAGTTAAGCATGATCCTGTAAAGTTTCCAAGCTCTCTTGGGTGAGTATTATAACCTCACTTTTCAGAAGAGGGAAACAAAGGCCCAGAGACAATACGCGACTTCCCCAAGGTTGCAGACTCTTGCTACTACAGGCAGAGCCATCCCTAGGGGTGTGTGGGGGCTGGGGGGTGGCCGGTGGCCAGAGTGTGGAGCCGGCGGCACATGGTGGGGCCCGGGCTGCTCGCCCTGACTCACCCCTTGCTAGAGACGGCCCTGACTTTGGATTTTGAGTTGAAAGCAAGGGACTGAGAGTCAAGAGACCTTGAGTCTAATCCTTGCTCAGAGATGCATACAAATGTTTCACATATAGATCCATAATGGTGCACAAAACCAGGATCTGGGATATAGCTAGATATGGGCAAACCCCCCTCAGATGACTGTTGGTTTAGCTGGGAGTGATTTGGATCTAGGAACCCTGTTACCTCAACCTCCAAATCAGGTGTTAATAGGGTTTAAGAATGATCCCTACATTACTGATCCCTACTAAATACAGTACAACAGCCTGAACCCTGGTTAGGACTAGATGGTATCTCTGTCTGGTTAGTCGTTGCAGCAAAGAGAAAGGACAGGCATTGGTGCTGATGTAGGGGAGCATCATCCTTTCCCATGTGAAGAGAGCTTTGTGCAAGAGGCTGAGGCTGGTTGGTTGTAGCAATCTGCCAGCTGTTTGCACTGGCCCTTGGGGAGGACGGATATGGTATTCTGCTGCTGTTGCTGCCAAGCCATGTCAAACTGCTGTTGTCACTGGAAAGATTTGTTGGGCAGGATGTGGCAGTACACACACACACACTCTTCTGAGCAGGGATTTTGTCGAATGGTGCTCCCATGCTCTGCTTCTCCACCTGCTCTGATATAGCCTGTCTAGGACTCTTAAAGGCACAACTGCACAGCAAGACATGAACAGAAAAGGGCAAGGGAAGTTAGATTTTCCCAGGGGGCAGAGAGGAAGTACGTGCTGCAGCCTCTCAGATTAAAACAGCACTGGAATTTGGGGAAAGATATTAATATTGAGGCTTGGACTCGTGTCTAAATCATTTAATTCAGGGATGGCTAGCCCTAGGGGTCATGATCCCCTTCCTAAGCCCACATTGCTAAATGGAAGAGGTGAGATCCCAGTGCTCAGACTGATTTATTCCAATCAACTCCATTAACCTAGAGTGCATTTTTTCAGCAAGTTGCACCCTTGCTCTCATTCTCAATCTCCGGCTTTCTACACAAGCAGCATTGCTCAAGGAACAAAATGAACCCCCTAGTATAGTCACACTGATGTCAATGGAGTGACATCAGGGATGAACTTGATGCCTAGAGCTTCCCATAAGCCGTAAGTCTAGGCACCTATATTGAGCAGCACAGAGGGTTATAGGGAGAATATACTATGCTTTGAGTTGCAGCCTGAAGCAAAGCAGCTGAGAGTCATTTGCTCTGGTGCATGGAGACACCTTTCACCTAATACTCCATCTACAGCTTGTTCTTTTCATAGGGATTCAATATGGCTATTTTTAAGGGGGACAGCAGAGAGTCGCACCGCAGTGCATAAAAGCCAAAGGAGGACAGCATAACATGTCAGGATGTGACTGGAGTCCCTTAAGTGGCTCACATTATTACCTCACATTTCTGTGCTCCTGGAGTGAATAAACCTAGGTCATGTTTGTAAACTTCTGGGATTCTTTTAAAGACAGCGTGAGCATGGCTGGTTAGATTAACTCCTCATAAACACAGAAAGCTCCACACTGCCCTTTCCTAGCAGCCTAGGATTTTGAGTGACAGTTGTGGTTAGGTCTAGTGGGGAATTAGATAAAGGACTTCCCCACAAAATGGAATTATATCCTGCTTTAAACAGGATGGCTGAAAGCCTTTCCCTTTTCAAGCCAGTGCCAATGGGTCTTCAGCAAGGAAGCAACTTACTGCAAAGCAAAGCAAACAGGCTCCCACTAGACAGAGTATCACTTCCAGCTTTGTCTTCACAGCACATGTATGCCAGGTTAGTCTCAGGTCTTTCCCCTGGCATGTGGCAGAAGAGGTTATACATTGATATGACTCTGGAGCCCAGCAGGCTGAGGTAGCATTTACTTCTTGAGTGACAGCGGACCTTGAAGCAGCTGTTAATGTATGCAGACTATGCAATGTAACTAAGCCAAGATAGGCTGGTCCTACAGTCATTTCCCACAAGTCTCTGGAGCACCCATTTTTGCCATCTAAAAGTAGTCTCTGAACTTGTTCAACTTTGCTTTATGTTATATTCAGTTACTTTTGATTCCTTTTGCCTGATATTGCTTTGTACCCCCCAAAATAAATTTATTGAGTTTTTCCTTCCAATAAATTGTCTCCTGATGTGTGCAGACCAGTTGCCTAATGATGTCCTGCAGATGGAAGCATAGAGCAGTGCAGGAAGGCATGGTGATAGGAAGCTTGGGTATGCTCCTAGATAACTGTGCTGCTTGTCACTGCCAGATATGTCACCAGTGTGGATGTCTACAGTAATGGCACAGCATGAGGAGGTGCACTGTCCTGGGTTGAGGCTAGCCCTTGTTTACTTATATTGTGGGTAACATGCACTAAAGACAAGTCTGGTGTCCACCATTAGACAGACCCCATTCTCAGCTCTGCTTTAGAGTTGAACTGGAATCTGTTTTCCAATCCATTAAAGCTCTGAGCTTTCATAAATTTCCCCGTCTCACTTCTGGATGGACCCAAGACCCACTGATGTTCATTAAAAAAAAAAAAGAAAAAGTGGGGGAGGGGTAACAGAGAGAGACAGACCCACCCCAGCACAGCCACTAACCCGGTGGTTAGAACATTGCCATGACAAGGGGTTCAAATCACAGTTCTGCTCTTCTCTTCCACCCCAAGTGAGTGCCGCAGTCACAAGGCTTTGGGCTCTTCCGGAGTCTATATCAGCAGAAAATTACAACTGGGAGCTGAGAAATCT